TGGCATGTGAGTTAAAACGAAGGGCTGCATAAATCATTCTACAGGCGGCACACAGACGTGCAACCTCAGGACGGCGCCTGCGCTCAGCATGGCCGTTTTCCCCACCACAGAATCTCCGGGGGGCACTGGTGTTTATCTCCATTTCACCGACAAGGAGCCGGAGGCCAGAGAGTGTCACTTGCCTGAGGTCACACGGCGACTCCAGAGCCTGTGCCGTAGCCCCCTCTGTTCCGAGATGATTCCCGGCTGGGCCTCCCCTCCGCCTGCCTGTGGGCCCTGCGAGTGGCCCTTCAGGGGCTTCTGCGCTGAGCAGCGGGGGTGGCACAGCCTGAACTCACAGCCTGAACTTCCTCCCCGACCTGCTGCTTTCATCAGCTTCCTTCTTCCTGCAGCTCGGCCTCCGCTCAGCCAGATTGCAGCCACCTGAGAGCAGGCCGCACGGCCATGTCGACCGGAGAGGCTGTTCTAGGCTTTGACTCAGCGGTTTGTCTCTGATCTGTGCTTCTCCCTTCTTAGCTGCTGTGTCTGGACTCAGGCCCTTGGTCCTGGGGTTGGGTGCTCACCATGAAGACTCTGGTTGTGGGGCGGGCGGAGGGCACCCCAAGTGGCTGTCACTGGCCGGTGCTGCATTTGTCCTCATCTGTAACCCCCTGTCAGGTAGGGGCCCTCTGGGGGAGACAAGGGGCAGGGGGTCAGCCAGGTGTTCTGCCCGCTGTCCCCACTGCTGGAGCCTGACACACTGGGCTTCCACGCCTGTCTCTCCCGTTGTCTTGCTTGGAGACTTCGAGCAGTTTCCTTTCCTAAGCCTCGCTGGCCGTCTGGACGTCCAGAATAACACTGTCCCCCTCCCCCCACTCAGTGGCCAGAGGGTTGGATGACATGACCTGGAGCACCCGGCGCTGTGTGTGGCAGGCGTCTGTGCTCAGTTCATGGTGACAGCGAAAGTCACAGCAGGTGATTAGCATTTTGTTGTCATTTGTCAGTCTCTTGACTCAAGATCAGAAGCGGAAGGAAACGTGGACATGAAGGCTCGCCTAGGACAGAGCATGGTGGGCCTGAGCCACAGGAAATATGGGACAGGAGTCGCTTCAGGGTCTAAGGCACCTGATTCCGGGGGTGGAGAGATGACCAGGGCCTGGAAACCAGGCGGTGATGCTGTGATAGGGATACGGTGGCCTCGACCCTATCTCGGAGAGCATCTGGTCATGAGCCCAGTGAGCTCACCCAGGACTTGGGGCAGTGTGCTCACATGTGGCTGGGTCCCCGCCAGTGTGCTGCAGGGAGAGGGGTGGGTGTCTGGCAGAGGGGCCAGGCGGGGCAGGAAAGAGTGAGGCAGGCGTGGTTTGAGACTCATAACAGGGAACGGTGGGGACTGTGGAGAACTGGATTGCGTATCCCTTCCCCGAAGGGGACAACGGCTGCTCAGCCCGCAGCAATGTGTTAGTGTTGCCACTACTTGTGGTTTTTTTAAAAGGAGCCAGAAATTTACATTTTGAGCTGACATTTCATGATTTTTAAATATTTTCAAATCAACGAAGTCAAATTTTTAAGAAGCACCATCTGGGCCAAAGGCAGCCTGTTTCCAAGCTCAGTTTGCAAGCATGGGCGCCAGCTTGAGGCCCCTGAGCACGAGGGAGGCCCCGGGCTGGGGGTGGAGACGGGGTGCAGAGGCCCCTCCGCGCGGCCGGGTGGGACCTGACTGTGGAACAGGATGCGGGAGGGATGGAGGTGGGCGCTGCACCTTTGAATGGCATCAAACAAGACGTAGGGAGCATTCTGACTCGAGCTCCCTGGACCCCAGGGCCGGTCAGCAGGAACCTCGGAGCTGGGAAGGGAAGTGTTTTGGTTAAAGACAGAGCTGACCTTTAGCCCGTCCCACTAGCATAGCGTGCCAGCTGTGAAAATACTGACATGCTTTTCACCAATTGATAAGTAGCCACTGGACCCATGGGCCTCCCCTTCATACCTTCCGCCCACCCTCTCCCCTGCTGGCCCCTCACCACCTCACCTCGCTATGACCGGCAATGAAAGGGTTAGCTCCCAGCACAGCCACCCTTGTTCCTCTGCCTGGTCAGTGGGCAGTGCCTGAACCCTAGGGCCGTAGCTCCCAGCCCTCCGCCCTGTTGCAGGTAGCGGCTGCCCACCTGGGTCGCTGACGCACGAAGGAGGATGTGTAGAGGCCACGGGGGCGTCAGGTGGAATTGTAGGGCAGGTCCCCAGGGGACTGGCACCAGGCCCCATCCGAGGTCACGTGACCTTTGTCCTTGCCCCTCTCTCTTCCTTGGAGCCCACCTCAGCCTGGGGCTGCCTGTCTCCTGGCCACCTGCGTCCCAGCCACTAGCCATGGGAGCCATTGGAGCCAAATGTCACCTGTCTGCCAGTCGCCTGTGTCCAGGGAGTGGGCCTCCGGGTGCAAACGCGTCCACCTCGGCAGTGGCACCACAGGGACAGGCACGGGCGGGCTCCCTCAGGGCTGTCCTGAGGATCGCGGGTCCCGGGGACCGTGTGGCTGTATTCCGAGCTCTCCAGGTGGGAGAGGCGAGGGGCATGCCCTGCTCGGTCTAGTGTCTGAGGGACTGTGGGGTGGGGGCTGGAGTGGGCACTGGCAAGCCTGAGTCCCCCTGAAAGCTAAGGCAGGGGACGAGGGAGGAGGAGCCTCCAACAGCCTCCACGTGGACCGCAAACGAACTTCCCCGGCTGCTCGCCTGATTGGCTCCTTCCTCCTGGCCGGCTCTCGAGTGTCTGCACAGCTCTCCCCGCGTCGTGGTTTTCTTAAGCAGCGCGTGCATCTGCAGGGCTCTCAGTGGTCAGGGGTGGTCTCAGCCCGCAGCTGCCACCACAGCTCTCCGGCTCGGCCGTGGCAGCCAGGCGGAGCCCTGGGCAGGGCCCTGCACCTCCGCTCTCTCCGGTTCCTCACCTGTAAAGGGGGTGGGGTAGTAACTGGAACGTACTTCATAGGGGTGTTAGACGATTAAGTACCTTCATGGCTGGCTGTCCCTGAAAATAGCTCCAGGCATGAGTCAAAGCTCAATAACTGTGAACTCTCGCTCTTTAAATATTTATCGAGCTCCTCCTCTATGCCAAATACAACATATGCCCCGGGATATAGCCGACAGCACATTCCCTCATGATGTGTGCAGTCTGTCAGCTAGGGAGCTGGGTAAGCGGCTGTAACAAGTAGCCCTTAAATACAGTGACTGAAGATAGAAGGCAGGTTTTTTCCCAGGTGTCTGTCCCGAGGGACAAAGTCCAAGGCTAGTGAGGACGGTTTTATCCGTTCGACACCTGGCCCAAGTTTGAGTCTAGAGTGGTCACTTCCAGTCCTCACCGTCTTCCAGCTGGTGTGAACGGGAAAGGGGCCCCAAGGGCCCGGGTGTTTATACACCTCTCTTTTAAGGGAGCTGACCCCGAAGCGCGCATGTCCCATTGGCCAGAACTCAGTCACACCGGCCCACCAGCTGCAAGGGAGGCCGGGAAATGCAGTCTCTCATGGTGGCTGTGCTCTGCTGTAACTCCAGGATTCTGTTATTAAAGGGAAGAGCGGGTGTTGGTGGGAACCCGCAGTCTCCGCCACAGCCTGCGGACTCTTTATTGGACCTTGAACTCTGTTCTGCAGGTGATGAGGTCCCAGCAGAGGGCCTCATCCCAGACAGTGGCTCCCAACCTTCTTTTGGCCACGCCCCACCTCAGCATCTCTAAAATCCTGACCCCCCCCCCCCCCCCCGCCCCGTGACATGGAATTCTTATTCTTCAAAAAGTGAGCTCTTGAAGGAATTCTTACCATTTGCCACGGCATGGATGGAACTGGAGAGCATTGTGCGGAGTGAAATACGCCAGTCAATGAAGGAAACACACCACATGATCTCACTCACTCATGGATAATAGAGACCATTATAAACTTATGAACAATAATAGATACAGAGGCAGAGCTGCCTCAAACAGATTGTCAAACTGCAGCGGGAAGGCCGGGGAGGGTTGGGGGGCAGGAGGTAGGGGGGTAAGAGATCAACTAAAGGACTTGTATGCATGCATATAAGCATAACCAATGGACATAAGACCCTGGGGGATAGGGGAGGCTAGGGGACTGTCTAGGGTGGGGGGATAAAATGGACACATATGTAATACCCTTTGTAATATTTTAAGCAATAAAAAAAAAAAAAGTGTGTAAAAAAAAAAAAAAAGTGAGCTCCTAGCTCCTATTCACGCGGAGGAAGCCTAAAAGCCATTAACTTGGTCTAAACAAGCTTCCAAAGAACATGGCACCCATGAAAGAGAAAAATAAAAGAACGAAAGGACAGTTGAAGTACTGAGGAAGAGATCACTAAGAAATTGTTAAAAATATAATATGAAATGATATGAAAAAATCGCGAATAACATTTCAAGACATATAATAGAGAACTGAAATGCATAAATGTGTCAGTATATCTATAATAATAAAAGTGTAATATGCTAATTAACTGGACAGCCGAACGACCTTCCGGATGACCTCTGGATGAAGCCAGGGCCACGAGGGCCGAGCCCCTTGCACGAATTTCATGCATCGGACCTCTAGTACATTATATACTGTATGTGAGGCCCCTAGAACCATAAGGAATGCAGAAAATGCACTGTTAATAATTCATTCTCGAATTGCCCCCCTTAAAAGTCAAATTGCCCCTGTGGGGCGTGTGCCCCCGTTGGAACCACTGCACCAGAGGCTTGCTGAGAGGCGGAGGGAGAAGGGGAGCGAGTGCACGGTCTACCTGCCGTGTGCACTGTGCCTGCTGTCCCGGGAGTCCTTGCTGCAGGCAGGGACAGCAGGCTGGGTTCTCCGACGGAGGCCCCACAGGCAGGCACAGCGAGTGCTCCTTGGCCCCTTCGGCCACTGGTTACCGGGCACCACGTCTGGCCCAGGCTCCAGCGAAGGTCCTGACAGGCGTGAGGAGTGGGGCGGGCTCTCCAGGGACCCTGCAGAGGGACGCATGCGCTGACGCGGGCCTCTCCTCTTCTCTTGGCCTCAGGACCCCCGGAGCAAGCACAAGTTCAAGATCCACACCTACTCCAGCCCCACCTTCTGTGACCACTGCGGGTCGCTGCTGTACGGACTCATCCACCAGGGGATGAAATGTGACAGTAAGTACCCTGGCTCAAACGGGGCTCCACCTGCTGGCTGGCAGCACTTCCGGGCGAGCCCTGTCAGGGCTCCTGCTTATCTGCACCAATGGGAAGCCTTGGCCTCTTGGCCAACCCCCAACCCCCCCCCCCCCCCGCCCCCGCCGTCCCCCCTGCTGTGCTGGAGTGGGGGCTGCTGGGGTGTCAGCTTGGCCAAGTCCCCTCATGCACACCTTCCCTCACTTGTTACCTGCCACCTGGTACTGAAGTTAGTGACTCTGGCTTCAGGGCCCGTGGGGTGTGTGGGGTGTGGGGTGTGTGGGGTGCACCCTTAGCCTTCGGGAGGCTGGACAAGCTCCACCTCCTCTGACCCTCAGGGTGGGGGTGGGGGGTTGGAGGAGCCTCCTGGTGGGACCCAGCTGGCGGGCTTGCTGCGGCCAAGCTTGGGGGTCTCGGCCGCCTGGAAGGGAGGAGGGGAAGGAGGCCCAGTGCCTGGCGGGGACAGGCCTGCCACCGCCCCGGCCGACCCGAGCCTCGCCCCGCCCCCAGCCTGCATGATGAACGTCCACAAGCGCTGCGTGACGAACGTCCCCAGCCTCTGCGGCACGGACCACACGGAGCGCCGCGGCCGCATCTACATCCGGGCGCACATCGAGGGGCCAGTCCTCACCGTCCTCGGTAGGTGGCCGGGTGGGGGGCTGCTTCCATCACCGACGGGCAGGGCCCCGCGACCGCCTCTGCTCCTGCCCCACAGCCCTGCGGCCCCCCCACTCTCTCAGTGTCTGTGGCGTGTGCACCTCTGGCTCCCTTAGTAGGACAGCAGGGAAGCGGTGCTGGGCTCTTTCCATGTTTCCCGTGGGAAGAGGCGGGTCCTGATGAGAAACCCCGGGAGAGCGTCACTCCTGGGGGCGGAGGTGCGGGGACTTCCCGTGTGTTGGAAATATTTCTTTCTGGCAGCTGACAGAGGCTTCGCTGGTCCTGGTGCACATCCTCCATACCGTTGGTGCTTCTGAAATATTTCTAACAGGAAGGAGGGCCGCTCAGCCTGCTGGGGGGTGTGCAGTGGGGCTGGGGACGAGAGAGCGAGGTGTCCGTCCTCCTGTCATGGGCCGTCCCAGAACCTCTGCCCCCCCCCCCCCCCCCCCCCCCCTGCCCAGGAAGCTCGGGCGAGGTGGAGGCCCGCTGTACGGTCAGCACGCGGCCACAAGCCGAGGCGAAACCAGCTCTGACTGGCCGAGCGTGGGATGTTATAGCTAACCAACGTAATTAGGGTTTCATCACTTGGTAACTTAGGAAATTGCTCACGAAAGGGGCTGATTTTGTAAAAACTGGCCTGTGAGGCCCCAGAATGATTCAGTAGCTCTGATGCGCTGGCCCGTGTAAAATACAATCCCTGTTTTAAGCTGGGGGTCGTGACACCCGGTGCGCACCCACTGAATTGCTTTATCCTTTAAAAAGAAGGCAAGTGGCGGACTTCATCCCATCAGGACACCTGGGGATTGTGGACAGGAGCCTGCAGTCCCTTGTTCAAAAGTAGCTGTTTTTCCCAGGACTAAGCATGCGGGTGAGAGGGAAAAAGTGAGGCCCTGCTGCCCTCTACTGTCATATTCTAGGAACTACAAGGCTCAAGTATGTGACGGGACCTTTCAGCGGCGCCACCATTGCTGGAGCTCATGAATGCAGGGCTCACACCCCGTCATCACAGTGGCCTAAGGCCCACCCGTTGTCCCCACTACAAAGAAGAAGTGATAGTTATGTGACGGGAAAGAAGGCAGCCGTCGTATTGCAATCCACAAGGGTATCAAATCCGCACATTGTACACCTTAAACTTGCACAGTGCTGCGTGTCAGTTATGTCTCAATCAAAAGGGCTGTCCATGTTCTCTTCCATTGCTCACCACAGCCTTGTGAATACCTATTATGCTCATTTTATGAAGCTCTGAGGCTCAGAAAAGTTATGCTTCCGAGACCTTACTCCATTAACAAGAAGAGTAAGAATGATACAATAGCCAACCTTCGAGTTTTTAATGTGTCCGTCACTGTGCAAAGCATCCACAGGCAATATTGTTGCTTTTTTCAGTAACTCTACTGAGCTAAGGAGCAAGGGTATTCTACCGACCGGGCAGCGGGCGGAGAGGTGCCCACACGTGGTCACGTGGGTCTGCTTCACCCTGAAGTGCGCTGTACTGGGTCACTGTGTTCCAGCGCCCTGCCACCCACTGCTGTGGTTTAGTTGCCTCTTACGGGCCTTCCTTGGGGAGTCTTTGTTCCAACTAATGCAATACAGCATTCCTTCGAAGTCAAGGCCAAAGTCTTCCCCTTCGTTCCATGTTTGCTCTGGCAATCCTAGTATATGCCTATGAACACTTATTTCCTACAGCCGCCCCAACAAAATGCCACAAACGGATGGCCTAGTAGGACAGATACCTGTTCTCTACGTGATCCGGAGGCTGGAAGTCTGAATCCAAGGGCCGGCGGGGGAGGCTGGCTCCTTTGGAGGCGCTTAGGGAGTCCGGTCCCTGCCCTTCTCTGCGTTCCGGTGGCTGCCACCAGCCTCTGGTGTTGCCCAGTCTCTGCCTGCATCACCTCCTGGTATTCTTTCCTGCATGTCTGTGTCAAATTTCCTCTTGTGAGGACACCAGTCACTGGATTAGGGACCCACCCTTCCTAGGATGGGTTGGTTACATCTGCCAAAGCCTTATTTCCAAATAAGGTACTATTTACAGGTGCTGCGGTTAGGACTTGAATATATCTTTTGGGGAGACACAAGTGAAACAGGGGAGAAGGGAGGAAAGTTGAGGTTCCTTTAAAGTGAGGGGTAGAGCCCTGGCCAGTGTGGCTCAGTTGGTTGGACGTCATCCCATGCACTCATAGTTCACTGGTTCAATTCCCGGTCAGGGCACATGCCCAGGTTGCAGGTTTGATCCCTGGTCGGGGTGTGTCGAACAGGCAAACCGATCGATGTTTCTCTCTCACATCGATGCTTCTCTCTCTCCCTCTCCCTTCCTCTCTCTCTAAAATCAATTAAAAAACATGAACGTGAGGGGCAGAGTATTTCCATGCTCAGAGTTCTGGTCACATTAATTGATAACCACCAGCATTTGGTTGTCTGAGTGCTTTGGTACTGGAGGGAGTGCTGTTGCTCTCACACGGAAGGGGAACTAAGACTCCGTGAGGCTGAGCAGCTCGCCTGGAGTCACGTGCAGGCCCCGGCCCCGGCCCCGGCCCCGGCCCCGGCCCCGGCAGCAGGTCCCGGTGGTGCCCGGCTGCTGCCCCTTCACCACTCTGGGCACAGCCAGCCCTTGGCACGGGCTTGCTGATGGATTGGGATGGAAGAACCTCGTGCTTTGACTGTCGTTCTCTAAAAATAGAGCCAAGATGAGTTTCTTGTTCAAGTGATTCATGGGGCTGCTATGGGGCGAGGAGTGAGCATAGAGCATTCACCATTCATATCCATCCATCCATCTATCCATCCATCCATTCATATCCACCCACCCATCCATTCATATTCATCTATCCATCCATCCATCCATCTATCCATTCATATTCATCCATCCATCCATCCATCCATTATATTAATCCATCCATCCATTCATATCCATCCATCCATCCACTCATATTCATTCACCATCCATCCATCCATCCATTCATATCCATCCATCCATCCACTCATATTCATTCACCATTCATATTCATCCATCCATCTATCCATCCATCCATTCATATCCACCCATCCATCCATCCATCCATCTATCCATTCATATTCATCCATCCATCCATCCATCCATCCATTATATTAATCCATCCATCCATTCATATTCATCCATCCATCCATCCATTCATATCCATCCACCATCCATCCATCCATTATATTCATCCATCCATTCCAGAAGGGCCTGGGTACCAGGTTGGACCTAATGGCAGTGAGATGTAGCCTCTGCCTGCAGAGAGCTCGCAGCCTCGAGGGCAGACAAGTGCAGATAATTAAGTCAAAATGTGGCCACACTGCGGTCCCCTGGGAGCCCCAGAGGGCACCAGAAGCAGGCATGGCCAGAGCAGGCATGGCCGGGCTGAGTGCGAGAGGCGTGGGGGTTATCAGGAATGGGCAAAGCGTGTCAGGGAAAATGAGAAAAATAATGCCAGCTGTGTTTATTGAGTACTTATTACATGCCAGGTACTTTACCTAGGTCAACTTGCTAGTCATCTTAACAATCCTGTCGTAGGTGTTCATATCCCCCCCTTTTACACCTGAGGAAACGGAGGCACAGAGACAGCTAACTTCCCAGGACTCACACAGTGAGTGTGGGTCTCCGGTTTGAGCCCAGGCAGCCAGGCTCCATGGCCCACAGACCTGCCCTGACGCTGCCTCAGGCAGGAAAGCGTGGGAACCGGGGCGGCGGGGGAGGGGAGTTGTTAGCGCCCAGTCGGCTTCCCTGCCTCCCTCCTGGGTGGCGGCTCCTCAGGAACCTCTACCCCCCACCCCCAACCTCTCCCCTGCGCTCCCAGCCACCCCCTGTTCATGCAACAGTATTAACTCGGATTCCAGGGTTTGCCCAGCAGATTCTGGACCTTGGGTTCAGCACGGACAGGGCAGGTCTGCCTGGATGAGCCTCACAATCTGGGCTCTTGCCAATTCCCTGGGACCCTGGGGAACCTCTCTCTCTCTCTCTCTCTCTCTCTCTCAGCCATGGGGAATGGCCTCCTTTTCAGGTTAAAATTCACTGCCTTTGAGTTTTTTCCAGGACACTGTGTCCACAAATCCCCCGTCTTCCGCGTGGTTTCCTGTTGGAAGCCTGCGTTTGGGGCACAGAGCCAAGGGGGCTGAAGGCTTTCAGCTTGTTGCCTGCCTCCCCCCCCCCCCCCCCCCCGCCCCGCAAGCTGGCTCTCTGCTCTAAAGGGAAAGAGAAGAGGGGAGGAAAGGGGACTGTCATGGTGGTAACTCCTCATGTGTTAATATCTCAGCATTCCTCTGCGGAGCCTCAGTGGGTCAGAACATGTTCATAAGCTAGGCTGCTGGCCACCAGGGGGCAGTCTTGCCTTGGAAGCGGCCCTCCCGAAGGCTCTCTTCCAAGAATTGCTCAGACCTTGTGGACCACAAGTGGGGCGTGGCAGAGGGGAGTACAGCGGCTCCCAGGGCCCTGAGGCCAGGGAGAGGAGGGCGCTTCTCCAGGCCACACGCCACAGAGCGGGGACAGGACCCAGCCCCTCCCTTAGACATTGCTGGTTAGTACCCCCCACCCCCACCTTTTAGCATAAAAAATGTGCAACAGACAGCAGCGTTGAAAGAATCTCACCACGAACACCCGCTTGTCCGCCCTGGGCTTCTGCCACCACATTCGCTGCACTTGCCTAATCAGTGTCCCTGCATCTCGCTCTCCCCACCAGTCATCTCATTTTTGATACCTTCTGAAGTAAGGTGAAGGCAGCGGGCCGCCCCCTGAATACTGCAGCATCACCTAGAACTCAGAGCTTGTTTTGTTTTTACTTTTGAGATTAAACGTAATAGAGTGACGTGCACACATCCGTGCGCAATGGCTGAGTTTTGTGAGATGGGTACCGCTGAGGGACCTCGCCCCTGTCTGGTTCACCCTCTTTTCTGCTGTCACAGCGGCCACTGGGGCTCTGGGACAAGCCATGCACGCCATCCCAAGAGCAACGCCCTGTGTGGCAGACATGCAC